GCATGGGTGTTTTCGTGGTTTTCCCCATGTGTAACGTGTATACGAGCCAGTTCCTCCACGAAGGCATCCCTCCCCTTAGGCAAATAGCCCCAGTGAGCTTTGCCATAATTAAATACACCATAATTTTCATCATACTTCCTTTTTTTTTTTGGACATTTTGGGCTAACAAAAAAAAAAAAAAAAAAAAAAAAAAAAAAAAATCAAATAATCAAATGAAACATTAAGAACAAACATTAAGACACAAAGAAACACTTGAAAAAAAAATACTTTAATTACAACTTGTGAAAAAGTAAAAGAAATGTTTTGTTTTAAAAATTTGCAAGAACTTTGCGGAACTGATTTTAACGTCACTTTATTTCCAAGTGAAGTAAAATTCAAAGGCTACTTTGTGTTTCTAAAAATTTCAAATTTTATATGGTTTGCGAATGTTCTTTTCCTCCTCGTATTGTGGAGGTCTCTATTATTGGGAAATGGCAGACAGACAGCTTACAGAGGTTGCCCTGACAAAAAAAGTTTTTTTTTAAAATAATTTTTAAAATTTTTTAAATAATAATGCAAACATTTTAAAAATTAGGAGCAGTCGGCGGACCCCCAAAATATGACCCATGGACCCCCAAGGGGTCCATGAACCACAGGTTAAGAAACACTGCTCTAGCAGAAATATAATTTGATGCTTACCTGGAAGAAAGACTATACACTCTCACTTAATATGGATGTTGTTAATTGATGATAGATTCGTTTATTCTCCTTGATAAGTCAATTAATCCACGATCAATGACAATAGCTACTTTTTTAATACTTAATATTATTACTTTTGATTTTGGTATTTTTGCAATTAAGGATTTTTCTTTACAGTTTTTTTTAAAGCAGTAGAGGTTTAGAAACTACTAATTAAAAATTTTTTAATAATTCATGGTTTTAATTGAATTTCTGTTTCTTGGAGGTGGCATATGAAAAGTTTTCTAACTGTAAATACATATATATATATATATATATATAATATATCAAGCAAAGTAGTATATATATATATATATATATATATATAATTTATCAAGCAAAGCAGTAATAACAATTTATGAAAAACCAATTTTGGTCTAGAAAACATCTTGCGCAATATGCTGCAAAATAAGTAAAATATAAAAATTGTAGAAAGCTCGCCTAAAAGTTACCAAGAGCTGCTGCTCCAAAAGGTATAAAACGTTTTCAAAAATTAATACACATGAAAAGCAAATCATTAGACATGTAAAAGCCTGTTTGGAAGTCGAATTTGGCTAATTTACCATTTTCCGCTTACTTTTTAACTTTTTCAGTTTTTTAATTTTATTTATGTTTTACATGTCTAATGATTTGCTTTTCATGTGTATTAATTTTTGAAAACGTTTTATACCTTTTGGAGCAGCAGCTCTTGGTAACTTTTAGGCGAGCTTTCTACAATTTATATATATATACATATATATATAATCCCCACTACCTAAACAAAATATTTCAGCATAGAAAAGAGAAAAGCTGTCCTATGCACATAATATTGAATTTTTTAATATAATTTTAAATCGTAAGGAATGATGTCTTGAAATTTTATAGATATAATGATATAGTTACTCCAATTATGAATAGACAGTTATGCTTTATTAAAGTTTTAATTTTGTTTTCCTTTGGAAGTATGTATCATGTCTAAAAATATTTCATTTTAAAATTAATCTAACATTTGAAATAAAATGTATTATAGAACAAACACAGCGAATACTCTGCAAGACTCATGATTACAGATGATTTTTATTTTCTGCGCAGGTAACCGTTTTAGAGCTAACGCAAATTTCTGTTCATATATAGAACATTTTCAGAAGTGGTTGCCTCAAAAGAATCTACTGTAGTCATATTCCCCTGTACTGTGACGATACCATACCAAGCATCATTGAAGAATAAATTTTTCACAACGAATTATTCTATTTTATTTGATCCGTTAATTAAAACGTTTTAAAATAAATCAACTAGTACTTGAGCTACTAGTACTATTCTTCATTTTAAACTAGTAATTCATTTAAACTTCATTTTAAAATAAATCAACTAATACTTGAACTAAATTAAAACATATTTCAGAACAAATTATCATAACACACCTGATTAATTTACTAATGAAAAGAAATAATATAAAAATGTGCATTTTTTACTTTACAGACAGTTAGCATTTAAAACTGGATATAATAGTTATTCATCATACTGCTCATTTTCTTCATTCTTATGTCTTTCTTTTCTATACGTATCTGAGCTATATGTATGCATGGGTGGTGAAGGTACAGAGTAAACACAGCACATTTCTTTTCCTTCCAATGACATCTTCATTCGAAGTAGGGAATCTAGGAGTTCCAAACACATTCAATTTCGATGCTTGGTTTTGGTCAAAGTGACTTTTGGAAATACTCTTTGTATTGCTTTTTGGTTAACTTTAAAGACTGAACAAAGCAATAAGTAGAACACTGGAAAACATCAGCGACTGGAGCTGAAAACTGTTTGCACCTGCCTTCTATTATTTGTCAGATGCATGTTCTATTAAGCCCAAATAAATTATTTTATTTATTTATTATAAATTAATTTTAACATAAAAGTATTCTACTATGTATTAAAAATGTTAAAGACGTAAAATGTAGCACAAGATAATGATAGCGTGGCAAAAATTTTGCAATATCGCATGAACATAAATTTTAGTCGATCAGGTTTGTCAAAAGTAGCAAATTTACAAAAAAATTGCATCATCTGGTGAATACGGTCAAGAGGGCTGGCAGAGTCGTAGCTAGGGTTTTCAGCGCCCAGGGACAACTGAACATTTCGCGCCCCCTACTGCTTGCCAAGGATGGAAAACATTTAAATCTAAAATGTCGTAACATCAGTTTGGCGCCCCTTGGATTATGCGCCCGGGGACAGATGCCCCCCTCTAGCTACGCCCCTGGGATTGGCAAATTCAAGGGCCGCCTCGGGCGACTAAAGCTTTAGGTACGCCACTGTGCATTTGCTCTTTAATGATGCAAAACGCTGTTAAAATTAATACTAGCCTCTTCCCTTTGCCTCTCTAGGTCACTGTACCGTAAAATTCTGATACAAATATCACAACTACCATGTACGCCAGTTGAATTGTACACAATTTTTGCTGCACTTCATTTATACTTATTTTCTCGAAATACTGTAACTTAATTAACTGATTCCTGAAAGCAAGTTGAAAATAACATCAAAAATTGCAAATTTCGAAACAAGATATCCCGGTCAATTTTTGCCGTACAGGAGCCAAACTTCTTACATAAACACTGTTGGCCACCCAACTTGGAACACCAAGAAAGACAAGAGATATTACAACAAAATTTATTTAGTAGATAACATGTTAACCAAGTATCAAATGATTAAATTTATAGTTACTTCTGTGAAATGTGGTTCCTTCCAGAATCAGTAGCCAGAGTAACCGCCATTGTTGGACATCACTGCTGCCAAACGCCTCGGCATTGATTCAAACAGACTTTGGATGTGTTCTTGGGGTACAGCAGACCAAGCAGCTTCAACACGTTGCCAAAGTTGATCTGGTGTGGCAGCTTGGGATATAATCTGTGTCAATTGTTCAGCAACCATGGACCACATGTTTTCTATCGGTGAAAGATCCGGAGAGCGAGCCGGCTAGGGAGGCAATTCAATTTAGCGATTGACAAAGAACCCTTGGACAATGCGTACCACGTGTGGTCGCGCATTATCTTGTTGAAATATGGCGGTGGGCAAGCCCTGAAGGTAAGGAAGGACAACTGGCTCCAACACCTCGGAGATGTAGCGCTGGCTGTTTAAAGTACCGGCAATGCGTACTAGAGGAGTGCGAGAGTGATATCCAATACCGCCCCATACCATAATACCCAGAGCAGGACCAGTGTGGGTGCATAACGCAGCTGTTCGTCGGATTCGAGTCTGCACATTATCTGGAGACACCGAATCCGACCATCGTGGTGTTGCAGACAGAAGCGTGACTCGTCAGTAAAGACAATTTCATTCCATTCTGCCTTCCACATCCTTCTTTCATCGTACTATTGGCGGCAGAGATTCTATAGTATTCTATCGTACTATTGGCGGCAGATATTCTGTGGTTCTGCGTCAAGGGTAGACAAAACAATGGACGGCTTGCGGACAGACCACACTGCTGTAAACGGCGTCGAATGGTTAGCGTAGACATTGGATGATGCTTTACAGACTGAATGTGCTGTGCTATGGTTCGTGATGTGACTGAGCGATCCGTCGCTGCCATGCGCACAATTTTCCTGTCATCACGTGAAGTGGTGCACTGAGGTAGATGCGATCGAACACGTCGGTCCGTCGTACCCTCCTGCATCCAACGATCACACATCCGCATTACAGTTGTTTGGTTTCGCCCAACACGACTACCAATTTCCTTGAAAGATAATCCACACTCTCGGTAGACCACTATCCTTCCTCTGCCGAACTCGGATACTTGATCAAACGATGATCGCTGTTTACTACGAGGCATAATTTATCAATTTATTTTTTGAAAAAACCACAAGATAAACACAATTGTCGAACTTGAAATCGTCGAAAACTTTAAGCCTTAAATAGCGTTTTGAAGTGGCGCCACAGGTGCGCGTGATGAGCAAGCGCTGAAATTCTAATCATTTGCATATCTCACCTCCGCTAATGCATGTTGTAAATTTCATGTTATTTGCATGCTTCCTTCAGGGTGTTGCATTTACGGTGGCCAGCAGTGTATATATATAAGTATTTTTCATAACGAGAGTAAAACTTTTCCAAAAATAAGTATATGGACCGGAATTTCGTTATTTGTCCAAAATTAATTTTTTACATTACTTCGTAGAAGGAATTAATAAAATAAATAAAAATAATAATAAATACGCGATAATTTGAAATAATGTTACTATTATTATTGTGTTGAATTTTTTAAATATTTTATTTATAAAAGTCAAATCTGAAGTATCTGAAATTAAATTTTTTACTCTCTTTAGATGAAGCCACATGGTTTTTCTGTAGATGATGTAAACAAAAAGTTACAAGATGTTCAGGAAAAAGGATTCACATCTATTGAAAGTGAAGTAGATGCCGCTCTGGAAAAACCTTTAACTCCAACTACACCAGTTCCTCATGAAGAATTATGAAAGAATAGTTTACTTAATGCATTTCATTCTCTAAGTAATGGTGAATTCAAACATTCATGTAAATAACATACTTCTTAAAACATAGTTTTCAGTCATTTAATCCTAAAATGCACATATGTAAAGATTTTTCCCATTAAGGTGTAGTAAATCACGTTTCACTTCGTCATCCAACGTAAAATTTTGTTTTAGGTTACGCAGAAAATAGTCTCCGATTTTTTTTAATACATACATGCATGCTAAACATTAAATATCAATTGTCCTTTAACTAAAAACATATTCTCAATACATTCTGCGACTCAAATTTGTTTTCGGACATTTGTAGTTTTGAAATTTATTTTAATAGATCTTGTATTAAATACTGAAACACAAACTTCAAAATGTTTTAATACGTTATTTTTTTTCCTTTATTTTAAGCCTCGCTTGTTATAAAATAAATATCATCAAAACTCTCCTTGCAATAAAATAATTTATTCGAAAAGTGTTAATCAGTAACTCCACAATAGTTCGGACATCTAAAAATTTTGTTGAGTCATCATAATAATCGTCATAATAATAATTATCGTTTGTACTTGGCATTTATTACTGATCTAGCAAAACATATTAAGAGTTTTACATCTGAAGTAAACATAGAAAAATGTTACAAATTCCCACTGAATTCTGTTAGAAATTAAACTATTCACCATTTTAAAGATATGAATAATATGGATCAGTATAAATACGTCTAAAATATTCTTACTGAACACTTAACAGCATCTGCAAGAAAACTTGGAATGGCAGATTCATCCAAGTACTATTAGGTTAATGATCATAAATATACAGTCTTAAAATGTCCGGTTCTGATTGCTATACAACTCTCATAAAGTTACAATAACTGCTTCCATATTCTTGAAACTTACCGAACATGTATGAAATGAATTGAAGAGAACAAAATATGGCATTTCTTTGACAGCTGTAAATAAAAGCAATTCTTACGGAGGAACAAAAGAAAATGCGGCATTTTAATGCGAAAAGTTAGTTAAATCCACGCCATGTTCATGAAAAATTAATTGTAGGCTAAAGAATATCCAACGAAATATTGTATGCCCGTTATTTTCATGTTTCTATGTTCAAATGTCCGAATACTTATGCGAGATCATTTTCAAAATTCTTTTTAACCAAAAGTGATTTGAATATTTTTTTTTCTTAAATTATAATCTTATTTTGAAGAAGATCAATACTATATATGAGTGGGGGGAATTAAAAGTTAATTTGCTAATATTTAATAACTGATATTTGCGAATAAAATTGATAAATACTTATCCGAAAACAAATGTGTGCCCGTTAGTTTAGAGTTCATTTATCAAATTAAAAACGGTTTTATGCAAAATCGATATGATGACGGTCAATATAAGACGATAAGAAAGAATATGATTTAATACCATGAATTACAAATAAGGAACTTACCAGCTATTTTGCACAAACAATTCTAAAATGAGAGACTATATTTAAATCATATTAATAAGAAAAGTGAACTCCCTTTCATCTATAACTATAAAAAATCAGTTACAAAAATATAATAAAAAAATAAAGCTGTCGATTATACTGATAAATGGCTTGATGAAAAAGAAGAATGGTATGTCTAATGAAAATTCAGCAAGATAATGGGCGTTTCTATTTTGTCGAATTGCTGAAAAATTAAAGATAACAAAATCAACAGTTCATCGAATTAAGGAAAATACGAACTTAATAAATCTTTTCCTGAAAACAAAAACCTAAAGTTATTAAAAAAATTCCACAGCATTTATATGAACAATCAATTTCATTCAGATAACAAATAAAGAATTGCCTCAACATTTATGAGCATTCACTTTCATTAGAATAATAATAAACTAAATGAAAACTCATCATAGATGATGAATCGTATTTTATATTTGATTCTAATCTTAGCAGTGCTGATGACAGCAAGTGATGGTCAAAGACTATCTTTCAGGTAACACTAAAGTAAGTAGTACCGATCTGTCAATTCTACGAATGGTGATAGCTAAGTCAAATCGCTAGACAGGGAAATTGGAAAATTTATTAGTAACGCTTGTCGGAGTACAGCCATTAATGCCTGCAGTTTGTACTATCTTGTACAATCAAAATAGTGCCAACTGTTTTACCCATAGTTTTGACGCTCTTCAGTGTTCATGCAATACAAACCGTGTGCATGCAGTACAAACCGCATGCCAGTTTGAATGAAAGCCTCCACATCCACAATTCGCAAATGAAGCGGCCAACAATCTATGATATACTAATTGTTAATTTCTAGCTCTCCATGGATGTAGGTATGTCCCACATGCATTCTGGCTGGGTTATTAACTCAGATTGTAAATAAAATAAATGCCACTCTATATTTCCTTTGTTCAACATTTGCAGACTGAGAATATAACATAATCAATTTCCCACTTTGGGGTTAGATAGCTAGAATCTTGGAAGCCTTAAACAGTTTAAACTGCAAGATTTAAATCTTATTTAAAATACATAGGATCATTTTGAATAAAAGAGTAAAAAACAAAATGCAGCATCCAGGGAATTGCAAAACAAAACTCTTAGAAATAATCCAGACCTGAGTAAGTTATTTAAATAACTACACTGAAACTCTTTTGCTGAGAATTAATATTGTGATTTCTGTTTATGGTGATGTAATTATGAACGAATGGTAAATTTACATTATTTATATGTATATATACACATAGTATGCACACATACACATAGTATGTAATGCACTATTTAAAACTAGTAAGCGACACGATAAATGCTGAAAGGTCGCATCCCATGCTGTACCACAAAATGAAAATTTATGTATAATAATACAGTTTACAGAGATTAAAGAAACCGAGTGGCAAAAATGAAGTCAACAGATATATCTTCCTTTCTAATAGATTAGTAAGTACTATATTATCTCCTTTGACAAAGGTAGTTAGAATTCTAATGAAATGAAGTAACTCATTAGCATATTTAAACACTGAATCTTGGATAAATTTAAAATGGAAATTTTAGAAAGGTATAACTAAAAGAGAAAATGTATAAAATGTCATGATATGTATAACAATAAAATCCGTGCATGAAAATAAAAAATTATCTTCTCTAGGAAGCCTTGGGACATGACAGATTTGTAATACCTAAATCACATTTTGTCCAATACAAATCCTCGTACATTAGACAATATTTGAATTATTCATATGTAACAATTTACCTTCTAAATTTTTTGTTTTTAAAATACATAGTTTTGTTTTAACACGATAAGAAAATTACCCATGAAATCCCAGGAACTTTAACAAACTCCGCACAAAATTTTTCCATATTGAGTAAAGCACCCACACAGTAATGTAGCATGTAAGAATCGTTGTTTAGTTAAGTTTTGCCAGCTGTCTTCCAAGATTCGGTTCTTGTAAGAACAAATGTCTTCAGGGAGATGTGCCACATGGTGGAGAGCGACCACTGAATTCTTAACCAGTAACGGGGTAAAATTGTTTCTCTCCATTGCTTCTTAAGTATAACAAAATATAAACAATACACAGTCTCAATCCCCAGATAACAATGAAGAAATCTCACTACAGCAAAAGGTGAACAGCATGAGGTTATAATAAGAGCTCCAAAATGCACAACCTGCACATTTGGCTTCCAACACTCGAATCTTCATCTCCGTGGCAAGCACCCTAAATTGGTTGGTTGGTAGTCTTCGTCAAGGTAAGGTGTGCTAAAGAATGACCTTTTCGTCGTCAAGACATTTTCAGTCTCAAGTCTTGTCCGATAAAGATAAAATAAAAATTTTAAGCGAAAATTTACTTCTTTAGAAGTAAAGATACATATTTTGAATCGTCTTTTAAAAGGAGAAAAAGCATCTCACATTGGAAAAAAAAATTGAATGAGGCAACAGTCCCGGCAATTAAGAAAAATAAAAAAGAAATAAGAAGTGCAGTTGCCGCAGGATCTCCGACATTCGCAAAACGAGCAACTAGCTGACAATTGAGAAGATGGTAAAGGTACTTAGCATTTGGACTGATGATACCTATCAAAAAAGAATTCCACTAGATAGTAATACCAGTAAGCAAAAAGCATTCAAAATTTAAAAACTTTAAAGAGCATGGAGAATCCTCTGTCGACCCAGATTTTGTGGCAAGTAAAGGCGGGTTTGAAAATTTCAAAAAGTGTTTTGCAATTTATAGCATATGAATTCAAGGAGAATCTGCTAGGACTAAGCAGACGAAACTGGGCCTTTTTAGTAAAATACGTGCGATAGAAATACAATTAAATAGAAAACAAAAAAATTTTAATAGAAAATGTGCGTGAATCATCAGAAAAGGAAATTGATGGCAGATTAGAACTTGCTAAATCAGTTGGAGCTGAAGGTTTAGTGGATATGGCTATTGATGACCTTCAAGATTTATTAATGGAAGAAGTTGATGAAGGGCATTTGATGGAAATGGCGTTCGAAATTGCGAAAAACATCGATTCTGAGGACAGTAGATTGTGCAGTTAATAATTTAACATTCTAAAAATTTAAGGCTGGCCTTAGCTTAGCTGAAAATCTTGTGTCATTTTTCTTGAATGCAAACCCTTCTGCTGAAAGAAGCCGAAAATTCAAAAGGGAGCTGCAAACCGAGGACTTTACAATGATCTGGTAAGAACCATCAAACAAGTAAGATTACAGATATTTTTTTAAAAAGAGAAGGAGATGCAAGAACTTTAACTGAAGAAAGAAGTTCCAAAAATGAAAGCAATATTATTCCACCAAAAAAAGTTCTTGGTTAATTGTGATGATGAAGAAATTTATTAAATGAAAGTTGCATTAAATTAAAATATCTCTTTGTTGTGCATACTTTTACATTTTTTAAATAAAAAATGATTATGTAGAATTAAAAATAAATTTGCATTTAATAACTTTTTGGAACACAACCCTCCTTTTTGTACAGGCTCCAAGTTTTGTACAACACAGCATTTTCTGGAAACCTATCTACCATGTTATAGGAGGGCTACCTATTATCTTTGTGTGTGTACATACATAACAAAAAGCTTCAACCTTTGACCTATGAGATCTTTATTTTCTAAACTCTAATTTACTTTTCTTTTGTGTGAAGGCATTTCAGGTATATCAATAATTATATTGCTGCTGATTTTTTAACTAGTAGTATGCTAATTTATAAGTAATAATGAAACTGCTGCATGCATTTTCAATTTAAACAACTAGTAATTCATTAAAAATCTTACTGTTAAATAAAACCTCCGATTTCTAATGGCACCGAACTACTTCTGAAAGTGAACAATATTTCTGAGAATATTATTACATTAATTTTTTTCATGATGGAAAAATGTATCAGGACAATTTTCTGCTGGGAACTTTATACATTAAGAGCAGATATACACTCTTTTGTGAAAAAATCAAAGCACCATGAAGGAAGTGGTTGAGTTGATGAAATTAAATATGTGTATAGCTCATACACAGATAATAAAATTATTAAAAAATCAAGGTCATAGTACCTGTTCACAGTAGTTGGTCGAACCACCCCTGGAGGCAATGCATGCTTGAATTCGTCGAAGCAAGGAATGGTAGAGGTTCCTAATGTCATCCTGCGACACAGTGTGACAGGCATTCATCAGTTGTCGCTCCAGATCTGCGATATTTTGTGGTGCCCAAATCTGGCAGCGTACCATGCTCGATTGGTGAAAGGTGAAGGAAGAATATCAACCACACGGAGACATTTGAGATATGCGAGCGGTATGTGGCCTGGCATTATCTTGTTGGAAAATGGTCCCAGGATGACGTGCCATGAAGGATAATGCAACAGGCCACAGGATGGTATCAACATATCGTTGAGCTGTTAAAGATGTACAGAGGATGACTAAAGATGGCCTGCTGTCATAAGAAATAGCACCACACACCATCACACCAGGGGTTATGGCTGTATGCCTTTGTAAAACAAAGGCTGATTGGGACCATCGGCCCCGTCCTCTCCACACACGAACACAGTGGTCATCTGCTTCAAGAATGAAGTGGGATTCATTGTTGAACACTATACGATGCTAATCTGATGGCAGCCATGATGATTGGCAGCGATACCACTCCAGACGACCCCACCAATGTTGTGGGGACAAAGGCAAACAAGGCCTCTGTGAGCATAACCCCGCCTCAGACAAGTGCTGTAAGATGGTGGTTGGTATCACGAGAGGTATAGACGTGGCTGTAGTGCATTGAATAGTTCAACAATGATACCGTTGGGGCAGTTTGGGCCTAACGAACAATCATCCTATCTTGCCTCACATTTGTGCTCCTTGGCCTTCCAGAGCCTTCATTTCATTGGCAATCTCCTTGTAGCAACCACTGCTACCATCATTTTTGCACAGCAGTGTCTGTACACTGCAGGTGGCAGCCTATTGCTCGGTATGACCACCCAGCTTCACGCAACCCTACAATGCGACCACGTTCAAAGTCCTTTAGTTGTCTGTAAGGTCTTCGATATCATCGTAATGGCATCTTTACGGAATTACAATGGCAATGCATGTAATTCCGTATTCTTTTTCAAAAAAAGATCAATTTTCTGCCTCACTGGTGTCATACTTTGCGAATTGCGCGGTGTGATCGCAATTCCTGTTCATTTGCATGTTTGATCAAGATGTTTTTGCATACTAAATTTCGTCACGCTCAGAAAAGTCCTTCTCAGATCTTCAATTTTTTTGCAAAAGAGTGTATATTGCATTACTTGTGTATTTCTCTATTGTATTTTATATAAATTCAAATACTTTTGATTTATGATATTGTGCCATAAATTAAAAACAAACAGTAATATACAATGAGGAAGCAATAAGAACA